GTGTGACCCTCCCCCCCCCCCATTCACTCTGCAGTTAGGAATCCCAAACACACCTGGGGAGAGGACCTTGACAAAGATGGCCGCATTCCTGACGAGCCAGAGTACCGCGATCGACATCCACAACACAAACGATCATTTTCAAGCAAAAACAGCAGGCAGCCCTTTCGGACTTTCTCCGTCAATCGTGAGACACCCTCCGACAGTTTCCATGAACGCCACAGCTGCAGTCATTTGGAATGATTTCGAAACTTGTGGTGTGTCCCCCCCCCCCCCTTCTATATGCTAATTGTCATGCGCGCATTTGACACTGCGTCAAACAGTCGCGCGCGGTATTCACTTCCGAATGGCCGCAAGTCACAATTCCAACAAACGGCAAATTAATCACACGACGCTAGCTGGCGCCTTTGCCTCCGGTCGAGCTCTTTATCGGCTAATTGATTGACAGGCCAGCGCTTGAATAGGTTATTACAAATAAATCTAGCCCTAAGTAAGCAAACAAACAAAATCCAAAGGCCACTTTGCCCGCGCTCCATCCAATTAGCTTTTTTTAATTACCTATTATGCCGAGGCGCACGGCAAAACGACAACAATGCGCAAAGACAAATCGGCGAAATGAGGCCCTGACATAGACGCCACTTTAGGGGTAATTACTCAATTTGTTTGCGGCAGCAGAGTTCTAACGAGCAGCCAATTACCGCACAGAAAGCCCGCGCAAACCCTGTTGATTTAATTAGATCCAGCGGGTGCTAGGGTGTGGGGGGGGGGGGAAGCAGGCAAACAATTTAATTACCAGCCGGGGGCCCCGGGGCATTGTGGGACGAGGGGTCCGTGTACCCTCGAGGGCCAATGCTGCAGAAAGAAATCAAACGTAAAGGACAAACCGTGCGCGCGCGTGCAAAGGGGTCGACGCGGGCCGACGAACTTGCTGGATTTTTGACGTCTTACCGGAAGTCCCTCTGACAACCGCTCCTTCTGCCAAATTGCCACATCGGAGATTTAAAAGCTGATCCTCGGAAGACGGCAAATTTTTAGGTTGACTTCCGCTTCCCCGTAACCTCATCGGTACCTTTGACGCAGGATGAGAGGTCCCGGGATAAGGATGGTCAGTGTGAAAGGGGCTCAATCAACGCAAAGCGACGCCTCCTTGTTTCCCTCAAAGGAAAGCGACGCATTGTTCAAAACGGATTGAAAGCCGAATGATGTTGACGAACCGTCTTCCCTCCCTGTGCGTTATTTTGAATGAGGTCTCTCACTTGAAGGTTTTCTGCATCAAAGGGAAATTTAAATCTATTTCTGACATCAACTTTGTGGGATCTCCACATGAAATGAGTCATGCAAAAAAACAAACAAACAGAAATTCAATTTTAGGTCTCGCTCGCAAATTCTTTCGACTTGTCATTTCTTAGTTGCGGCACGTCAAAAAGGTCGCAAGGGTCCACTCTGTGTTGAGGTCTTGTTGGGCGCTAATCGGCGTCTCCGAGCGCACTCGGTACTGAAACCAAAATACTCCGGCTTAGGGCCGGCGGAAGCTTTCGCCACACGGCGGGAGATGGATCTTCATCAGCGACCAGCCGAGCGTGACCTTTTCCAGGTCCGAGACAACCCGACGACGCCCCCCGCGGCGCCGCGGCGCTTCCCGGGGGCTAACGCCGCCCTCCGCGTTGGGCCACGTGACAAGAACTCAGAGCCGCAATAAGTCCCGCAGCAAGACGCCGCCAGTGTCACGAAAGGTGATAAAAAGACAAAGATGAAGCAAACTTTGCGCGCCGTATTCTTCGGCAGACTTGATCAGTTTTGGCGTATCCGAAAAAAAAAAAGTCTTAAGGTCGATTGGTATTATACACGGGTGCGTATTATACTGATCTTCATTATTCGGAAAGTGGTGGATGATTAACTCATTCAGTACCAGCCAATTGTGGACCAAGTCTGAAAAGACATTTAAAAACGTCTTTGGGAGTGAATGAGTTCATTTGATACCTCTAATTGTTGTGATTGTAGCGCGAAAGGGGCGAATGACTCAAGTAAAATTTCATGCGCCCTGTAATGGTTTTGCTTTTCGTTAAAAAATGGCACCAAAGCGGTGGTGGAGTCGACTTCATTGTCTGCCTTTGGAGGTCGAGTCGTTGGAGAGCCGTGCCGGAGGCGGGATGCCGCACGTGCGTCGGGGGGCTGTTCCCAACGCCGCGACAGGGGTGTGAAGTTTAGCACCCCGACGCACTCTAACCTAGAAGGTAAAAAAACCATTTCGCACTGCCGGGCTTGGTCTTTGTTTTTGTCCCCCAAACTGGCAGGTGTGGCGCTCAAAGCCAACCAATAAGTCGTCCTTTGGCGACTGCCTTCGGGGTTTCACGGCAGCGACAGCAAGAATGGCGGGGGCGCTCGCAAGGGGGCGTAACCGCAAGCCGGGACCCGGGAGGGGGGTTGGGAGGTCTCCAATTAAAGGTTTGGTGAGGAACCCCAGCCCGGCTGGCATTGGCGTCCTCTCAAAGAAGGCACTTTTTGGACGTTGTTAGGGGGAAAAAAAAGTGAGGTTTGTTTTGTTCACCTAACGAGCCCCAACCAAAGCGGTCTTGATTGGATTTGAGTCCAGTCGAGCTCCCGCTTGGCGCGCGTGATGTCCCGAGGTGTTAGCGGTGCGTTTAGATCATGTTGCGTCTCCCGCAGGCGGGACTGAATGAGGGGCTTCCGGCGGCTGCGGTTTCCCAGCACGCCTCACATTTGCATTGGCTCAATGAACACACTCGGAGCTCTTCGTTGTTTTGGAAGCTGCTCACCAGTTGGGGGGGGGGGGGGGAGGGTGGGTTGGGTCGCAACCTTCATTTCGAAACCCTAACTTCAAGTTAGAGCCCATTTGAAGCCCAAACCGAAAAACCCAACGCTCATTTCAAACTAACCGAGACTTGACACTGCTTCGAACCCGTGGCCCTTGAGAAGATTTGAAACTGGAACACAAGTTTTAAACCCTAATGTGAAACACTAATGTGAAATGTTAGCTTCAAGAGAAAAATCCAGGCTTGAAACCCGAACTCAAACTATTTACATCAACCGAAATCATGGCTTCAACCCCGAATTTGAAACATGAAAAGTGGGTTCAACCCCTAATTTGAAACCCCACCCACTGACCTAAAACCCCAGCCCCTCCTAAATCCTTATTTGAGACCCTACTCCAAATCCCTAAGCAATATTTGAAAAGCTAGGCCAGGCTTCAAACCCGACTTTGAAACCCTAACAGGACATTTCAACCCGACGTTGAAAGCCTAACAGCTGTCTTGAAGAGTCCTTTTTCAAAACCTAACTCGAACTTGAAAAGTGACTTTAGAACCCTGACAATAAACAGGAAAAGTGGCTCTCCTCAGTGAATTTATGTTTACGGGTGGTGTGCAAAAATGTTTTTGGGTTTTTTTTTGGGTTGTTGTTTTTGTTTGGATTTGTTCTCTTGGAACATCCAAAGTAGCTCGCACACGCGGTGCGGCGAGCGTGTGCGAGCTTGGCCCGCCGGCCACTCTGGCAAGGTGACAAATGAGTTTCCTAAAAGGTGATGAGCGCCATTCGACGGCGCCGTCACGGCAAAAATATGAGTGCCCGCCATCCAATTTGCACTAATTAGCTTGACATCAGGTTGTGAGAGCGCCGTGGTCCCTTTCCGCGCTCGTCATTAGGAACAAGTCCAGGCGAGACCCGGCCCGGCAGGGTGCACGAGGCCCCTTGTGCATGTGTATGTGTGTGTGTGTGTGTGTGTGTGTGTGTGTGTGTGTGTGTGTGTGTGTGTGTGTGTGTGTGTGCCCACACCTCATCATGTCGCTATTCCTGTCAGAGGACAGCACCCCCCCCACCACTCGGTAGCATCATTCCCTCACAGCCCTGAAATGAATGAGCATCATACAAGCAGAAAAATGAGCAAACAGGAGATTCGGGCTGCAACCGACGATTATGCGAACAATCCATTTTTGTGATTTTTTTTTTTTTCTCTTTGGATGACTCGGGTCAATATATAAAAACAAATGAATTTGCATGCACTTTATGCAAAAATAGTACATTGTTACAAATTGACAGGACAGGAAACGCAGAATCATAAAAGGAAATAAGTCAGGGAAACAGGAAAACACCTTGATTACCATTTTCCAAAATAAAATCCAAGGTTTGCTAATGTGTTTTGAAAAAAAACGCAAAGGTAGCTATGGTGAATTCCCCCCCCCCCCCTTTTTTTTTTTGAAAAAAATCTTTTTGGTCTGGTTCCAAATTTGTTTTCGTTTTGTTTAGTTTTTTTCTTGAGCACATGAGGTTTTCATCCAGCCGTCCATTTTCAAATTCGCTTCTCCTCACGAGGGTCGCGGGCATGGCGCAGCCCATCCCGGCGGTCTTCAGGCAGTACACGCAGGGCACCCTGAACTGGTTGCCAGCCAATCGCAGGGCACACAGAGACAAACAACCACTCGCGTTCAAAATCACACATAGGGGTTTCCATTCGGGTGTTCCATGAACCTTCTATGTATGTTTTTGGAATAAGAACTAAAAAGGTAAGTTTCCAAAAATATTTTTGGCTTAATTGGCCAAAGGCAAGATGGAGAGTTTATTTCGTTGGGGTGTATGGTTGGGCCACGAGGTATGAAATTAACTGTGCAAGACATCTTAAATAAACGTCATCGTTTGAGGTTTTTTTTTGCACTCCGGCTGCCAGTCAGTCAAAATATCCTATCATTGTCATATTAGCGGCAGCCAGATGTTTCCACACACCAGGTGGCGCCTGCTCATTAGTGCCTCTGACAAACTGTTTCCTGCCACCCTCTGTCAGGAACCCAAATCAGCTCTCACCATTTGCAATTAAATTCCATAATGACGGTGCCAGCAACGTCCCTCGAATCATGATTATTATTATTATTAATAACGCAGCATAAGGAATCATTTCGGAGCGCTGAGCCGCTGCCACCCGTCCTTAACTTGAGTTTAATTGCAGCAACTGCTAATTTGGATGCAAATCTGTTCTGTAACGATGTCAACATATGGATGTGTTTGAGAAAAAAAAATGCTAGGTCATCCCTTCGAGTTTTAAAGGGCCGTGATTAGCAGGACAAATCCAATTAATACTTCTAATAGCATATTCATCTTGTTTACCAGATAAAATTGTACATGTGGTTGGAATAATTCCGTGCTTGTTCAATTAGAAACATCAATGTGTTGCGTCTGTACTTTAATTCTCAGTTTATTAAAGATCTGAAGAGTGTAGGTTTTTTTTTTTTTCTCAAACTTGGTGTCAAGAGGAGGGCTACTTTGAATTCTTTGCCCTCAAACACTGATCTCACGGAGGGCCTGTCCTCCGAGACACGTTTCTCCTACGTGAGACCAAAATAGCCGCTACAACAAAAAAGCAATTTGGTCTGAAAGAATTCCTTCGCTAAGCTATAAACACGACGACTATTGCATTATTTATGTATTGCATAGCGATTGCTATCGAAATTGCGAAAATCGAAACTGTCAAATATTACCTGCTCCGATTGGGACGTGTCACAAATGGAAGGGCAGGTATTTTCCTCTTCTGTCAAAATATTCCCGTGTTTTTAATCCATATTCGTTTGTTGAATCTGAAGAAACACGAAGATTAGGAACATTTAGCGTCTTTTTTTTTTTTTTTTTAGCTAAAGAGAGGCGCGCTACCGAAGTGCATTCTGGGTAAGTAATTCCTCGACCTGGATTTTCATTGGACTCGGTTTATCAGTGGTTCTGACTACATATCCAAGCTAACGTGAATATTTGGCTCGTTCCAACGACCGGTAGTTGAACATCCTGCCAAACTATTGTCTTGTTTTACGACAACTACTGTTTTAATGACGAACAAAATCGTCGTTTGGCAACAATTTTAGTTTTGTCACCGAACAAAAAAAAAAACAAACTTCTCGCCAAGGTGCATTGTGGATAATGTCGTTTTTAAAACACTGTTGTTGCCAGTCGGTTTTACCGGGAGGTTTCCGACTACATTTACAAAGAAACGTGGCGATTTTCATTGACAACTAGAATATTCGGTCATATTACTGCATATTAAAAAAAACCGTCATACTATTCGCTTAATATTTTCAGTTTAGGCTGCTTTCACAATGGCGAGGTGCATTATGGGTAGTGTAGTTCTTGCATTTGGCTACAGTAGTCCCCAAACTGACAGTCATGAGGGAAAAATAGGTTAGTTTGTTGTGATAACACGCGGAGTTATTTTTTTTAAGAACAGCTAGGAACACTTCTTTATCCCCTTAATGATTTTTGTCATATTTTACAAACGTATTTATAAATTCAAATTTAAATGTGATGCTATGGTATTTCTTGTCAAGACAATGTTCTGACCCGTGTGGCTGTAATTCCGCTTGAGAACTGAGTATACGGTAACAAAAAATGAGAAAAGACACAGCACAGAGAAAGATACAGTGAGGAAGATACACTAAATAGTCTTTATTAAATATACAAAATTGTGTGAAACAGAATTGCATCATCACGGCTTGTAAACGTTCCTTTCCGACACGCGGGCCTGGAGAGGCCTGCACCGGTCACGACAAAATACATTCGGCTGAATAAAAAGCTTTCAAAAAAAATGGAAGACGTGGTTTAACAGTGCATCTGGAAAGTATTGAAAGCACGTCACAGCTTTGTCTGCATTTTGTTATGCAATTGGCGCATTCCTTTTTTGGGCTCATTGTTAGCCCTGCTCAAATCTGGAATTGGGAAAGACCTGAAAATGGCTGTGAATCAACACTCCCCTTTCAACCTGATGGAGCTTCAAGAAGTACTGCACCGTCGATGAACACCAAATCTTGCACCATACTAGGGGTTGAACAAATAACCGTTTTTTTTGTCGTCGACTTAATGTGATGCAAGTCAATTTGAATTTGATGAATCAATGATGTCACTGATATTTTATCAGCACAGTGCAACGGTCCCAAACCTTTATTGTGCCACTTACCGGTGTCACGTCGAGAGATACAGTGTTTCGACAAACAGGCATAGAAGCAAAAAAACAGGAAAAAATATGTATTCGTTCACTATGCTCGAAAGGCAAGTCGGAAGTCCTCTTTGAAGTGACCGACTGGAAGACTTGAGAACATAAACTAAATTTGTGATTAATCAACACCAAGCTTTAAACGTAGATGCGGACTCATCCGCTGGTTGATCAATAGGTTCAACCACTACAACATATACAGGGAAAAGCACACCATTTTTTGATTGCACTCATTCTACTGCCAACTTAATCGACGTTAATCTGGCACAGTAAAACGGATTTTAACAAGTTTAGCAAAATTTACAAAAATTGACGCGCTGTGTTAGAATTTTTAAAGCAATTTAAAAAAAATACAAACACTTTGCAATCAGGCAGTAGAGCTGCAACTTAATTCGTGATGTTGTATTTGTCAATGAGGGAAGCTGCTCAGGTAATAGATGGATTATTTTTTCCGATTAATCAATTACGAAGAATATTTACTCTTGAAAGGCTCGAGATCCAATTTTTTTCACCTCGAGCGGTAACAAAATGTGAAAAAAGTGAAATGTTTCAAAAACCTTCCGGATGCACTGTTAAGTATTTTGTTGACAAGTGCAGAATCGTGTCTACTATACATCTACTTGTGGCGGCGTCAAAGGGCAAGTGCGATGCGGCCTACGTCGTCTACTACCGCTGGCAGGAGTCATATTGCGAGGATGGGAGTGTTGTTACGTTACATCATTTTTGTGCCGTAAGCGAAACCAGTGGTTCTCAAACTGGGTCTCCATGGACCCCCTGGGGCTCCACGAGCCACAGCAATGATGGACTGATGGAGAAACACTTTGGATTGGACAAAATAACAAAAGTGAGAGCCATATATTCTTAATCATCTGCGAGCAACGGATGACATTACTGCGGCTTACTGAGCAATTGTGACCTGTCTCCTTGTTGTGTATCCATCTGTCTGGATTATATCAACAGGCGGAGACACATGATATTATCTCACAACATTCAAACTTTTTTTCCTTTTTGGTTTCTTTATTTTTGTGGAATTTAGTTCTGTTTTATTGGCATTAGGATTATTTGAGGGGTCCTGGGAAAACGTTCTCTCCCCTAGAATGTTTGAGAAGCTGACCCTAACGACAGCACATTTTATTAGCGGAAGTGCCCATAAAAAAAAAAAAATGTAACCCCCCCCAAAAAACAATTCAAAGAGAACCAAAAACAGAGGCGTATTTGGCAAATGGATACACACTGTATGCTTAAATGTCTTCTAGACGTTGAGAAGCAGCTGTGGGCGTGGCCACAGCTAGCGATGCTATCATGAGCCAGTTAGCATTGCGTCTCACATGCCCACAAAAAAAAAAAAAAACAACAACAACAACAACACTAATGAAGGATACACAATGAGGAGTAAGGTTAAAACACTCGCTGGCTAAGAGCACTTTTCGAACGTGGAGAGCTAGCATAGACTAGCGAAGCATAGCATCACCTCACCAAATGATTACAACGGCAAGCTCTTGTGTCTGTTTTTGTCAGTGCGTAACAAGTGAGAACTTGTGGAAAAAAGAAACAATCTTTATGATTCCAACCATACATACAGACTTTTCCGTTACACATTTTCTATTGAATACAAAGCAGCTTTTCACCGGTGAAATTGAGATGTATAAATTAAGCTAACAATGCTATATTTGGAGTCATTTTCCTTCTTCAAACAACCGACTGGCCGTGCTAATGACCTTCCATTGGCCTAAAGGGCACTTCGAACTGAGCCCTGTGAATTCTGCCTAACAACAAGTAGCCTAGCAAATGAAGAGCAATTACAATGCACCTACGTTCGCGAGTGCGTCTGCTAACAAGCTAGCAAGGAATGTTGGAGCCCCACTGAAAAGGAAAAAAAAATTAATAATTAGGACTTTTTTTCAATTGAAGTCATAAGTATTAGGCCTTTTCCGAATTAAGTGAGACCCCCCTACCCCCAAAATCAACGTTTTTCAGGAAAATAAAAGGTCATTTTATGAAAATAAAGCTGTATAATTCTAAGGGAAAAAAAGTCAATGGTGGTCCTAATATTGAACGGAACCTAAAAATGTCCCTTTTTGAAATTTTAAAACAAATCAGACGCAACTGCGATTGCAAATAATATTTAGGAAAAAAAAACATAAAAATTATTTTCTCATGTATTTAGCCCATTTAAGTGCTCAGCGTCCCGACAACTTTTTTACCTGCATAAAAATTAAGCGAAGTTGAAGCCGTCAACTTTTACTGTCTCCAGTTGTCGGGTTCCACACCACTGTCAAAATGTCCAGCAGTTTATGATGAAAGTGACAAAAAGGGTGGATATTGACGGTGTTTTTTTTCTCCTTTCCAAGTCAGCATCCAACAAGATGGGTGCTCACATGCCCACCATTTTAAAAGCAACCAAACCTGGCGGGTGATCTGAAAACAACCTGAGGACTAGCTAGGACATTCGTAAAACGTCAGCATCTCAAATCCAGTGGTTCTCAAACTGGCTGACTCCGGGGAAAAGTTTTTGGGTGGAGTCATTTAGAAGAGGGCATACCACGCAACAATCAAAACAAACAATGAACCAATTACTTTTCCCAGCTTCACTTTGGAAGCTCAGAGATGATTATGACATATCATCACGTCAATCTGACATCCCCACTTCAATAAAGTCTCTTTTTTGCTTGACCAAAAAGCGTATAGTTACAGATATAACAGTCATATTGTTTAGAATAAAATCCATATTTTTCAAGAAGAGCCCTGTTTATTTATTTATTTTTTAAATAAAAGGTGTGATTTCCAGAAAAGTAGGTGTAATATGAGAAAAAAAAAAGTTGCACTTTTGGACTGAAATCGGTAAAATATCACTAAATTCAATATCACAATATATTGTGACTTCATCTTGGAAAAATGTGGCTTTATTCTCGTAGGACTCGGGTCTCCTTATGATTAGGACTGGTTTTCCTTCCCCAAATATGAATTTGTTTCCTTAACGTGACGCATATTTTTTCCTCTTAAATTGGTCACGTTCCCGATTATAAATATTAGGGATGTCCAACACCACTTTTTTCAGACCAATACCTGTACGAGTCTTCACTCTTAAGTGCTCACTGATACAAAGTATCGATACCTCTTGTGATTCCGACATCTACATTTTCATTTCAAACGATGACAAAACATTGTGACCATAAGCTTTCTTTCTGACACAATGACGAGTCCCCAAAGTGTCAGACTGCCGCAGTATAGAACCAAATTCATGGATATCAGCTTTTCTTTGACTACAGGATCGGTGGCTGGTATCGGCAGCCTCGGCGAACACCCATAACGAAAAATAAGGTCGGTATCAGCCCGAAAAATCCTGGAATGCGCATCTGGAAATACGGGGTGCGATTTGACTCCAGGGTGGTACATTTTAAAGTGCAAAGGTTCCACGCCCTCGTTGCTATGGCATATTGGGGCTTGTTGCTGATTGGGGGGGGGGGGGGGGGCATATCAACATTCTTCCCAGAAAGGGATCCCCGGACCCAGAGAGTTTGAGAACCCCTGCAAAACGCTGGCATCAAAACGTGACAGCGTAGCGGTGAAAAGGCTCAAAAGCCGTTGGGGTATCCAAGCCTCGCCGTCATTTGAGCCTGGATCGCACCTGCAGGAGGGTGGGCTTCTGCTCCATGATGCGCACCAGAAGCGTGTCAATGTAGTCCTCCAGGTCGCGGACCTGCGGCTTCAGCTTGCACAGCTCCACCTCCCGTTTGGCCAGCAGGGCACGCTGCTGCTGAAACTCCGCCTTCTGCCGCTCCAGCTCTGCCTCGCGCCGCACAAGGAGACCGATCAGCTCATTGTGGGTCAGGTGGTAGTACGAGCCGGCGCCCTCCGTCAGGATCTGGAGACAGAAGGCAGATTCCGGTTTTTTCCACCAAATTCTGTCAGCGAGACCGCTTTTTCTCCACATTTGGTTGTGTTACAGCCTTATTTCAAAATTTTATAAACTCATTTTTTCCCCTCAAAAGTCTACACACACACATGATACCTCATGATGACCATGTGAAAAAACGTTTTCAGATTTTTACTTATTCACTAACGGCTGTTTTATGCGCATCCGACCCGATTTTGCTTGCCCTTTTGGAGTATTTTGACTGATTTTTCTAGACCAGCAGAATATTGCATTCTTTGATATACCAAAATCGACCGAACGAAAGAACAGAGTCTCTTCTGTCACCTTGTAAAAAAAGTTTTGATTCGAACTTTTCCTGTGGTTTGGTCATCAGCCGTCACACAAAGATCGGTTTTACAAAACGCAGCCGTTTCTCCCAGAAACAACAAATCGTTTTGTGGAAAGAAACATATCGAACAGAACACTGACTTTGAGGCAAATATTTTTGGGCTTTTGTGACATCTCTGACATCTGAGCACTTGTTTCATTCTCGAAACTAGCAAAAAACATTTTTAACAAAGGCATAATTGTTATGTGGCACTTTTGATGTTTTCTTTGATTGCAACTGAGGTTGTTATAAAGGGCTGGATTTTGTCAGGAAAGTTGTTTTTTTTTTTAATGATGAGAAAAAAACTGTTTTCATGTCTCATTTTGAGGAACGCAAAAGTGAAGCACAGATTATTTTGCAAATGCACTGCATAGGGGAAAAAAGTTAGAGGGCTTGAATTTGACCTTCTCGCCCGTCTGGCTGCTCCTGCCAGGGTGGATGCTGGACTTGATCTTCTCCAGGACCGAGCGGCCTTCAGCCAGCGGGCCGCCGCTCAGGGGCCGCACCGGGTGGGGGCTGCAAGGGAACGTCACAAAGAGGTCGTGTTAAAACAAGCTCGCAGGCTTTACGGGGCTCGGCCTGCGTGCCATCCACGGGGCGGTTGCAGACGTTTGCGGCCCTGGAAAAGCGGATGTTGTAGTATGCATGCCAAGCCATTAGTTGGCGATGTCCTCCATTTTCATGCACCCCCGTGTTTTTTTTTAAACATTCTTGATAATTGAATGAAAATTTGGTAGAATTTAGAACAATGGTGAGTATTTTTTTTTTAAGATTTTTAACAAAAGACAAATATAATTAATTTGTATGCATTTCATTATTATATATTTTGAGGATTTTTCTTTTTTGGGTGACATGTAGAAATATTTAAGAGCATGTTGATTTTTTGTGGAAATCTGCAAACGTTTTCTTGATTTTTTTGTCACGTTTTAAAAATGTTTCAGGAAATATTGTGAACATTTTGTCCTTTTTGGAAAATTGCGGAGATTTGAGGTGATCTTTTTGTGGCAAATGTCTCTAAATGTTTAGAATTTTGCAAACATTTCGTCGAAATTTCACACATTTTTGAGTGGATATTTCATGAAAAAGTACACATGAAATTATTTATTGAACATAGTTGTATAATTTAAGAGTCTCTGTAATAATGCAGACTCATTAAAATCATTTGTTTGTGAAAAAATAATCGATGAAAATGTCCACTTTTCAAAAAATTCCTCTCAAATATCTTGAGCCATACAAATGCAAAAACAATATTATCTAATTTGCTCAATTCGGTCCTTTGTGGCAAAGTTGACAACTTGGCATTTATATTCGGGTTTTTCGGTGCAGGTTATGATACAGAGGTCCAGGGGGAACCCGGTACCCTCCACATGAAACCTGTTACGTCAAGGACAGCCACAAGCTACCCCGTGAACAAAGATAGTTCACCTTTCATATTGTTCCAATTGTGTGTTGGGACGATTTTTTTTTTTTTAAATATTGCGCAATCACGGAGTCCTCCAGGATGACACCAGACAGTTCAACCTTTCCACAATCTGAGAACGATTGCCAGGAGAAGAACGTTAGGCAGGTTCACCTCCTCAAAGCGGTGAAAATTAAAAGTTAAATGAGCCCAAAGTCGTTTTAATTGTGTGCCTTTGTGCAAAACAAGTAGAAAGGTGTGAAGAAGTGCGTTATTACCCCAGGTTGAAAAGGAA